ACACATTATACGGTGTGGAGCAAACTGTTATGCAAAGTAACTCCCTCAATTTTTTTAAGAGTTCGAAAGTCAACATGATAACAATGTGAATCGATTGACACCAGCGTTTCAGGAGCGGTCAGTAGCCTATAGTCGTACTACTCTCAAATTAAAGAGAACCTAGATATGCATAACGATTTGTTTCACACTGTATTTCTAGTGTGACTAGACTTGCCACCACTTGCTCTCTTGCATTTCCTCAACGTTGAAAACGATTTGGTTCACACTGTATTTTTAGTGTGATTAGACTTGCCACCACTTGCTCTCTTGCATTTCCTCAACGAATTGATAATACCATCCCCGATTCACTTTCACTCACATGTTTCAAATCCGATATCAGTTGAGCCACATCCTCAATACTGTACATATCGTGATGAGGAGGAGGTGATATCAGCCCAACCCCCGGGGTGGACTTCCGGATCTCCGCGATGGCACCGACGACCTTATACCCTGGCAACTCCCCTCCTTCCCCTGGCTTAGCGCCCTGACCAAGGGAGGGAAAAATATGTACATATGTTGGTGAAAATTTCGGGAAATTCTCATTGATTCTACACGGATTTGTATGTAAACGTGTGCAGTTAGTGAGGAAACTCTTAAGCTCAACTGAGGAAAGCGAACATATATTCCTACTCCAACACTGCATTCTAGAGTTTCAAAACATGCGGGAGGCGATAGGAAATATTCAACCCACATTCGCCCATTCCGAAACCCACAGTATTAAAGTAGAAATATATGTTCGCTTTCCTCAGCTGAGCTCAGAAGAGTTTCCTATACAGTGTTGGAGTAGGAATATATGTTCCCTTTCCTCAGCTGATCTCAGAAGAGTTTCCTCACTACAGTGAGGAAACTCTTCTCTATAGGAGTTTATATACGAATTCGAGTACAAAAACCAACGAGAATTTCCCAAAATTTCCTCAGAATTTCCATACTGCCAAAACCCCCACCTGTGCTAGTTTGATCTGAATCTCGTCAGCGTCCGCCAAATACGCCGCAGTTACACCAAACCGGCCAGAGGCCACTTGTTTGATACGAGACCTCGCCTCGTTATCCTCACCAAACCTAGGAGAACCAGTATTGTTGGAGTGGGAATATATATTCGCTTTCCTCAGCTGAGCTCAGAAGAGTTTCCTATACAGTGTTGGAGTAGGAATATATGTTCGCTTTACTCAGCTGAGCTCAGAAGAGTTTCCTATACAGTGTTGGAGTAGGAATATATGTAATCGCTTTCCTCAGCTGAGCTCAGAAGAGTTTCCTATACAGTGTTGGAGTAGGAATATATGTAATCGCTTTCCTCAGCTGCTGAGCTCAGAAGAGTTTCCTATACAGTGTTGGAGTAGGAATATATGTTCGCTTTCCTCAGCTGAGCTCAGAAGAATTTCCTGTGCAGTGTTGGAGTAGGAATATATGTAATCGCTTTCCTCAGCTGCTGAGCTCAGAAGAGTTTCGTTGCCAAATACGATGATTTATACGCTAATTCGGGTATTCGTGTACAGAAATTATGCGAGAATTTTCCTAGCATATTCTCATCAACACATGTGCAGATTCCCCCACAAAAGGGGGGGGGGTATAATACGATCCCACCTGGCCTCATCCTCTCCCCCTTCTCCCGTATTAGATCGACCACCCAGGGAGTTCATCGCCATAGCCAACGCCTCGTGGGTCGGTGACGAGATGGCACCAAAAGAAACAGCACCTGTGAAATGTGGTCAGCGGAGCGATGCAGCGATAAATTCCACAAAATTGTTCTTCCAGGAAGAGATTCCTATGCTGTCACGACAGAGCACGAGTAGTAGGCAGTGCAGTAAAAAATGCACATGTTCAATTACATGTGTTGGTGACAATATAGAAATCCTGAGAGGAAATTTCACATTGCTTTCTTTACACTTTGTATGTAAACTTCCACAATAATTGAGGAAACTCCCGAGCTCAGCTGAGGAAGGCAAACATATATTCCTCTTAGAAGCTCATCCACCAAAAGCGTATCCAGAGGCTCAACATGGTATGATACAAACTAGGTCCATTCCAAGCCTCTCACCAACAGCGGAGCGAAGGTCAACCCCCACCTGTGCAGAATCTCTTCACAATTTCAGTCTCCGTTTCTACGCTTTCCACAGCGATCGGCGAACACTTGTCATAGCAAATCTCCAAAAGCCCGCGTAGTTCACACTCATCGACTAAGGCGTTTTCCCAATCTTCATATTCCTTGTATGCTGTCGGCGAGTCTTTTCTGGCCGACTCCTACACAAGGTTCGAACCCCACAGGTGTCATTTTTTAATCAACCCACCTGAATCTTCGCTATAACATCAGGGGCGTTCATGTGGAGTTCCGATGCGTTGCCAACGGAGCGGAAATGATACATACCCATCTCGGGCAGTGCATAGCGGCTCGTCTCGGCGTCTACCAGGGGTGGCAGGGGGCGAGAGGGATACGCCTAAATACAGTACGTGTCAATTTGATATGCAAATGTGTGTTATTTTATGAAGGTAATGATAATCGATTTGAAACTATATCGCAGATACAATGTAACGATGGCTATGAACATGTGTTGTGATGATGAGAGTACCCGTTTGGGACTGTGATGATAGCGACAACTTGTTCACTATCATTTGTCCAACAAAATAACACACATTTGCATATCAAATTGGCATGTACGTTCATCGCGATTCTTTCATGTACTTTTATTCCTCCTCAGGTTCGGAACACACTTATCCCTGCGGTCGGAAAAAGGTCAGAGAACTCCATAAAAGTAGAGTAACTCGCTCTATTGCCAACATCAACTCACATTAGTGTGTAGCCTGAGCGCATCTTCTTGCAAGGCTCGGAAGCCCACGCCCCCAAGTGATGACAAACATGCATCAAAACAGAGATTCCTAACGTCAGGTGCAAGGCCAATGCATTGGAACAGTTGAGCTCCTTTGTAACTCGAAAGGCATGAAATACCCATCTTGGACATAACCTGGAAGAGACGTGATACAAATACCAACGACACACACGCCCTGCTGGCCCAATGGATAAGGCGCCACCCTCCTAAGGTGGAGATTCCGGGTTCGATCCCCGGGTAGGGTATATTTCCCTCCCCCCTCACCTTGAGAATTCCAGCATGTGCCGCAGCCCTATAATTCTTCACCATCTTATTTAAGCTCATCTCCACCACAGTCGAGTCCCTCCCAACCCCCATACTCGACGGACGCACTCTGACACCAACATACAAGACGTGCTCACTTGAAATGCTAATGTGAAAGACCGCGTTAATTTCTAGACAGGTATGAATCAATCTATGCGCAACATATGTAAGAGATTAAATTTCATCCACGTTGAGTACGTGGCAATTTGATATGCAAATGTGTGTTATTTCGTAGGACAAATGATAGTGAAAAAGTTGTCACTATCATCACAGTCCCAAACGGGTACTCTCATCATCACAACAAATGTTCATAGCCATCGTTACATTGTATATGCGATATACTTTCAAATCTACTGTTACTCTAGAGTTACTCTATACTGTTACTCTAGAGTTACTCTACACTGTTACTCTAGAGTTACTCTACACTGTTACTGTTACTCTAGAGTTACTCTACACTGTTACTGTTACTCTAGAGTTACTCTACACTGTTACTGTTACTCTAGAGTTACTCTACACTGTTACTGTTACTCTAGAGTTACTCTACACTGTTACTCTAGAGCTCCTCTACACTGTTACTGTTGCTCTAGAGTTACTCTACACTGTTACTGTTACTCTAGAGTTACTCTACACTGTTACTGTTACTCTAGAGTTACTCTACACTTTTACTGTTACTCTAGAGTTACTCTACACTGTTACTGTTACTCTAGAGTTACTCTACACTGTTACTGTTACTCTAGAGTTACTCTACACTGTTACTGTTACTCTAGAGTTACTCTACACTGTTACTGTTACTCTAGAGTTACTCTACACTGTTACTGTTACTCTAGAGTTACTCTACACTGTTACTGTTACTCTAGAGTTACTCTACACTGTTACTGTTACTCTAGAGTTACTCTACACTGTTACTGTTACTCTAGAGTTACTCTACACTGTTACTGTTACTCTAGAGTTACTCTACACTGTTACTGTTACTCTAGAGTTACTCTACACTGTTACTGTTACTCTAGAGTTACTCTACACTGTTACTGTTACTCTAGAGTTACTCTACACTGTTACTGT